CGACTGCTAGGTCTTTTGCTTCATAATTTAATTTCTTGTAGCTACACACTCTCTACCACCATCTATCAAAATGAGCAAGTCTGTGCAGTGCTGGCACTTAATAGTTAAAATGTTTGTTTTACATAACTAGAGCATAACCTTGGAAATTAATTTCTTTACTTACTAAGGCAAGAAAGTAATTGGATTTTCCTTCTCTAACTTTTCTTGACTTTCCCCCGTTTTCTGTCCTGATTATGAAAGCATGAGGCTGTCTGGGCAAGCACTGGTCTCTTGCATGTTCTTCACAAGAATAATTAGTGATGTTTCATCAATTAGCCTTTTCAGTTTTATAATAGGTTAGTTTTTCCAAGCAAATTTTAAAAAAACACTGTTTGTAAAAAGCGTTCTTCCGTATTTCACAGCTCATTATATTTTAGCTCTTGCTGCCTGCTTTTAAAGCCTTATCTACTAAAATTTAAGTAAAGAGTTCTTTATTAAAAGTGGAAAGAAACCTGAGAGCTTCCATTGTGCCACAGGAATATGCATTAGAGAGGATGTTTGACTGGGTATCCAATCTCCACTGTGCTTGAAATACAGAATAAATAAACTTGGGGAATAAGTTCCTTGTTCATTTTTATTTCTGATGATAAGTAATTTAAAAAAAGATTTACTATATCATTTCTGTTCCCTTTATTTGATCTACACAATTACACAGTTGTTCCTGGTCCTACATTTGATCCAAGGCTTATGGGCTCTTTCTTCAGTTTAATTTGTAATTTGTCCATTAATTAAGAAGGAGAAAATGTAGTGTGATGGGTGGAGCTGGGGACCAGGAATCAAAGCTTCTGAGTTCTTCCTGGCTCTGTTCCTGACCTGAAGAAAGTCACTTACACCTTCTGCCCCATATTGTCTCTGGGACTCTCAATATAATTATGTTTAAATGCCCCCAAGCTATGATATGAAGGCTGATAATAGGAAGATAGAAAGCGCTTCCTTTCACAAGCTCCGTAGAGATGTTCGGTTGCAGGTTTCAGGTCAAGTCCCTTTTAGGTTCAACTGCTACGTGGCTCATGTAATTATGGAAGAACGTGGGGGTGTCTGTTGTGTACTTCTTTATGAAGGAAACATCCAGCCCATCTTTGACTGAGAACTATTTAGCATCAGTAATGATGAAGAAGACAGAAGGGACTGGCTTGGTTTCTGCAGTCCCAATGCGTGTGTGCACCTGGGGCAGGAGGGAAAATCCCGTGCACTATGGGTGCGAGAGCATTGGCTGTGATTCACTGAGGAGAGGGAACATCAGTGCCCACCCTATTGAAACCTTGCACCTTAACTGTCCTTGCACTGCAATTTTACCTGGATCTCTTTACAAAAAAAATCAAGTGAGAAAAAAAGCGAACAAAGAAAATACTTTGTAAGAACAAAGAAACCAGAGGAATAAATAACCACTAGGAAATTCCCAGCACATCCCTTTTTGAAGGTTTCAGGAAATTCCATTTGTTGGAGGAAACGCTGAAAATTAGGAAGAGCCCAGAAGAGGGACTAACAGGAGACAGCTGAGATCATTTTTCATTGCCAGGACTGCACCGTGTTGTCTCTCCTTTTACAACTCATCGGCAGGCATTATTACCTGGTGAAAAAATTTGTTTTGCAACTCATCCTGAGTCCTCATAAATCATTAATGCCTGGCTAAGCACAGTGTGAGCATTACAAATACTCTGCGAATGAGGGCCTGTTCTGATATAACCTTGTGTCCAATACTAATGCCTGCTAGTTATTTAGTAATACAAAGGGGCCTCAGCGAGGAAGATCGATGAATCAATGCAGCCTCCTGACTTCCTTCTCCTCCACCCGCCTCTTCTCTTTCGAGTTCAGAAACTGAGCTACAAAAAAAAATACAGGATTGTTCATAGTCATCTCTCTGCAGAGGACAGTACAGCAAGTCAGGGGGACAAGGAGGGAATTACAGCCTCCCAATGGCTATAGGAAAAAGAGCTTCAGTTTCTGATCAGGGCTTGTTCTGATTCCTGTTTTTTTATGAGCCAGATTGCACCACTGCTCCAGACCTGTGTTCTCTGGTTTGCATCCCTTAATGAATGCATGCAGTATAAAGCACAGTGAAGTGTGTAAAGAGCATAGACAGAAACTCTGCCCAGGAACTGCAGGACTGGATGTAATTAAAGGGTGCTCAGTAAAGTCCAAGTAATCAGCTCATTACCTGGGAGAGCTATTTGGGGACTTAGATGCTCAAACCAGCTCTCACAATACTGGAGATAGCACAGAGAGCGCAGCATCACTGCAGTGGATGAACTTTGTGTCTTGTTATTCAGCAATCTTGGCCATAATCATGAGTTCATGGATAGTCTTTACTATCCTGCTTACCCTGAACTCACCTCCAAAAATGGGCTCCCCAGCCCATTCAGAGTGCAACTAAACTCTGTTTCCTCTCCTTTCCTGGAGCACAGGATCCATCTGTGCAGTTGCTATTCATACCGTTGTGCTCTTTGAACACTAAGAATAACTGATCATGAGCTTTAAAAGGAGGAAATGGAATGAGGTGAGATGGAGGTTGACCCCTTGTGTAAGTGTAATCTTAAACGTGTATGACTTAGTCTTGGTTGGAGCCCTGGTCTTGAAAGGCTTATGCAAGGAAGATTGCAAAGCCACAGAGAAAAGGATCGTGAATAGGAATGTAGCAAAAGTGCAAATGGGGATGGAGGACGGTAATTGAGCAAATTTGAAAAGGGGAATGACAGAAAACAAAAGCGAAATTAAGCAGGGGATAAGAGAGTATCGGAAAGTTTAGAGGGAAAAGTAACTATCTTTAAGGCGTGAAATGATAGAAAATTGGTCAGGAGGAAAATGTAGTTGCTGTAAGTGAAAGTGGGAAAATGGACCAAGACAGGAAAAAAAAGTCGTTCATATGTGAAAAGGGACGGAAAAATACTTCCTTCACAATCGCCTCCAAAAATATGCAACTAAAAAAGCTCCTGGTGCTGTTCCTGTGAAACCAAGACCTCAGTCACTTTAACCCTAAGTCAGGTAAAACACCCCTTGCGCCCAAAGCATCCTTGGTCTTTAGCCGAGGCCTGAAGCGTTCATGGTCAAGTCAGACTTTAGGCCCCTCCACCAAAAGCCTGAAACTTTCCTGCAGAAGAGTGAACATTTGGATCCCGTTTCAAATTTTGCTTGAAATCTATCACTGTACTTTAGCTTTAGCTTTGTTAAAAATAGTCTCTGCTGTAGCACCCACAGGACAGAGTGGTTTATTTTCCCCTATTATAGATCTGACACAAGCCTGCTGTTATTTCTGTGGCCTCTCTAATGATCTGCTTGCTCTCTGGAGAGCACTGACCCATTTCAGCACAGAATAATTAGCCTTTCAGACACTACTGTGTTTCCATTAAATAGACATAAATGGGCAAGGTGACATTTATTTACTTAGGCCTGAAAAATGTGCACCACAGATGCTGGGGCTTGGGATACCTTCAATTTCTTTTCGTGCAACAGTTGTGTATTTGCATGTCTTCATATTGTTTAACCACTAGTGCTTTGCTGAAATGATTCCTGTTGAGTTTCATTGGGGAAGCAGGAGAACACAAAGATTATTTGGGTCTTCATTTCACCGTAAGGCCCTTTGGCGGTGCTTCGGCAGCCCAGTGCACAAGCCCGACAGTGGCTTTAGACGCAGTTATAGTTACACTCTCTTCAGGTCCCTTTTACTTCATGTAAGGAGGGACGCCACGTAAAAAAACGTTGTTGATTTACAGATGTGTCTGAAGAGGAATGTGTTCAGGGTGTTACACTGAGAAAATGAGAACCTTGACCTATTGCAAACATAAAATAAAACCAAAATCCTTTAGTATTTAAAATCAGCTCTTTTATCATCTTGATCACTGGCTTCTGAACCGCCAGACTATTGCCCAGGTGAAAAGTATATTATTCATCTTGATAGCCACTTCGGTCTGCAAAGTTGGAGGGAAGTCTTAGCCTTAAAAGTCCAGCCAGCATATAAAACATGTAGGTTGCTTAGTAGTTCACATCCAGACATGAAGACATGGCATGCTATTATTTCTTTCTGTTAGTACCAATAGGCTTTATAAAAGGAGGCATCACACAAGGTAGGTGCTTTATTGCAGGATGGAAACACTTTCATAGGTTATTTTAATCATTACGATTCTTTCATGATGTGTGAAAGTTCATTGTTGCTGTAAATGAAGCCATTGAAGGCTAAAAAATAAAAATGCTGTGATGGTAAAAATCCTTGGAGTGCAAAAAATGGGAATTGCTATAAAAGGCAGTAATTTATTCTCTGCGTGAGATTATTTTTTATCATAAGGATGCTTTTAAGCCAATTCTGAAACATATACAATTGTAGTCAGTATAGCTGAGGTATATTGCAAGATGCATTGATAATTTGGCTAATTTTTTATGCACTGCAATTTATATATTATTTAGAAGTACTATTTTATTCTGTTAACTGAGAGGCTTAACACATTTTTTACTATGTTAAGGATGAGTTATTTTTACAGGTTTTGTGGTTTTATTATTTTGACCCATATCCAGTTCATATTGCATCATAATACCATATTTTTACTAATATTATTCTAGTATGTTCAAAACTTATTTGCATTTGGATAGAAATTCATTAGCTCTTGATTTTTATTATAACAAATTATTTTAACTTTTCTGTGATAATGCATTCTCTGTGTTTCTGATTTGCTGATGCTGAAATATTTTGTTTTCGTTTTTAACCCTTCCAAATTTAGGATTGTTTTTGCTTTTTTTCTGTATATATATTTCAGTTGTTTAGACCTACTGGTTCCTGCTTTTTCTTTTTCTTTTTTTAACATGTTATGTTTGTAACTTCTGACTGTCTGTGTTGAGCCAATCTTACCGACAAAAATATCAGTTGTTTCCTGTTTCTCTACTTCTTTACAAAAAAAAAATGAAAAGTAAAAAATAAAAATAAAAAACTCTTAATGGGAACCCTGGCACTGTCTGTCTTCTCTGTTCTGCAGAAATGTTGAAGGAGTTGAACCAGCAACGCAGAGCGAAAGAGTTTACAGACCTGAAAATTATTGTTGAAGGCAAAGAGTTTGAAGTCCACCAAAATGTTCTAGCTTCCTGCAGCTTGTATTTCAAGGACCTGATTAAAAGGTTTGCCTTCCTTCCAGCTGTGATCTGCTCTGTTCTTTTGTAGGGCGCATTTGTGTCGCTTTTTTTTCCTCCCCTCTCTTGCAGGTTTATGAAGATTGAATCTCCTGTCACAGAGCCAGTAGCCATTCTTTCCACCTCCTCTGAATGTATTTCCAAACTGAGACTCAGACCCATTTGTTACACATCTGACTCGTACAGTGTAATTATTTCTGATCAGTAGAGGCCGGTTTTGGCCGAAGAAAGTGTTCCACCACTGAGAGATCTAAGTTTTAAACTCAATTGCTAATGGTGACTCAGACCACAACTAAAAACTACTGCTGTCGATGTTTTCAAGGGACTCTGTCACATACGACAAAAGTCTGGCCTTCAGGCTACAATAGGCCATCAGCGTTCTGGTGAACGATGCTGAGACATCATGCTAATAAAGCATTTTGAGTATCATGATCCCTTCGCCCTGAAATCTTTGTTACATGCTTTTGTGTGGCTTTTATGGGCAAAGGGATTGATATTTTTATTATTTGGGGACTTTTAAAAGAAGAAAAGACAATTGATGAATTTCTCTAGAAAAAATTGGAAATAAAACGATTTTCTGGTCAAAATATAGCTCAGTCTGCATGTTAGACTAAGGGTAGTTTTTTCCTACAAACACTCTAGCTTAGGGTAGGTACAATATGTACATTTTCTAAACATCGTGTCTCCGCCTTCGCGTTTTCCCCCCTCTGTTTCTAGCTGATTGATTCTAAACAGTGCATGATAATCTTTTTTTTCCATTACATTGATTTTTCAATTTGTATGCTTCATATACTCGCATAGGAATAAATTGGTACTCTCGTATTATTAGTAAGTTAGAGTAGCAAGTAGGGAGAAAAAAACCATGAGGATAACTTTCATTTTTCTCTCAATCATCAGCAAATTAATGCAGCTGCTGATTTTGCCTTGCAGTATTTTCCTGAGCAGACTGAGCCTGGACTGTGCTAAAAAATGGGATTAAAGAATATTTTGCTTGCTTCAAATCCTGTATTTAAATTTTGCCAACTAACACAATAGTGACTGTATTTTATTTCAGGATGGCATATTGGCTGGTATCTCCTTTCAGTGTATTATGTCCTTTTGCACAAAGCTGGTTTTATAATTATGGATATATATTACATTTCTATGATATAACTGTGCTGACTGCCTTATCAATTATTCATAAAAAATATGTTGGCCTAGGAAGCATGTCTTTTCCCCTCTGTAAATCTAATGATTGCTAGCTGTAGCTATGCCAGATCTCTCCTCTCCTTTCTCTTCTGTCTGCTCATTATCATTTAATTGTTAAGGCTACAGTATATGCTTTTTAGGGTGATAAGGAGTAGAGTCTATAGGGTAAGAAAATCTTAGAATCAACTTACAGAAATCCAATAACCGACTGGCCAAAGACTGTCATTTGGATTTTGCTGCGAAGACATCTGCTTGTGTGCAGAAGTCACCAGGCAGCATCTATTTCTAGAAGCACACTGAGGAACGTTGCTGCTTTATTATTTAGTTATCAAATGGAGATATACTTTAGACTGAACACTGCTCTGATATGAACTCATTTAAAACAACAACAACAAAAAAAACCCACAAACCTTTCTAAATGCTCTGAAAAAAGACTATGAAAGCAGAACCATAGATTTCAGCATTTGTCTTTCAGCTGCTTGCATAAGGCTCACATGTGTTATAAGAAAAAAATAGTGAAAGGTTAAGCCCATTTGCCAACCTCACCACTTTTTGCCTTCTTTCACATCAGCAGCAGCAATAAATATTCCAGAGGTCGATTTGTGTTCACAGTCAGGTCTCTCCATCCCAGTTGTCTTCCATATATAACCTCAGTTGCATACATGTAACCTTGATGAAGGCTAATGGAGTTGCACAGGTGTATCCAAGGCAAAAATACCTTTATTACTGATGATGATGCTTGAATAGGGAAAAATCCAGCTTGATGTCTAGTTGAGTTTGCAAAACTGTCAGGTGAGAAAAACAAATATTCACCTGTAAACTGAGCAAATGTGTCTTTGCGAGACAATAAACTCAGGGCTATGGGGTGGAATTTCTAAAGACTTGCTTTTTTGAGGATACTTGCAGAGGAAAGCCTAGTCCTTTTAGAAACCCCATGAAGTCAATGAAAGTCAAGGACTCAAGTTGCAAGAGGTACTCACTGTTTTGTAGGATCATGCCCTTAATAATACAAAATCATTATAGTTCACAGAGTCAGTATGTTTATAAATACAACACGTCTGGAATCCTCTCCTGTTAGCATCTCCTTTGAGATGGTACTTTAAGCTTTATGTGGTTTTTATCTTTGTATCATTACAGAAATCAAAACAAGAAATGGCAGTTTTTCTTGAAGAATAAAGGAATCTCTTTATGTTAAGTATAATATAAAGGCCATTTCAATCATTTCATGCTAGGGTTAAACTCTAATGCTGTTCCAACTGAAGGCACCAATAGGTCACCAGAAATGTCAATGAGAAGATGATCTATTCATGAAGGTGCTATGTGCATCTATATAAACATGCAGAAAGAGTATCTTTCAGAGTATTTACTTCAGCTGTTCTTTGCCACAGGCTAGTTATTGTTAACCTCATGTTCTGCCATTGATTCCACTGTGTGCTGGAGTTGGTATCTGATGGCAGAATAGCAAGTAGTGTCTCAAAAGAATAAAAGTGAAATGTTCAAAACCAAATAAGATCAATTATCCCCTCCTCAAAAAAAAAAAAAAACCAAAATACAGACAAAAAGCATAACAGCTAGCGTTTTTGCTCGTTTTGAGGACAGCTATTTGATGAGAGTTAGTCACAGCAGGGAAAAAATATGTTGTTTTTATTGCACTGTAGTGAAAAGATGATAACCAGGTTTGATTGACCAAAACAATTCTAAAGTTATTTATGATTTATGAAACAAATATGGTAATGAGAGAGCACTTTGAGACACCCTTAGTGTCTCAGAAAATGGTTAATCCTGCAATGTGCTGAGCATTCTGGTCCTCATCCAGAAAAGTTCTTGTTCCCTGTGATTTATCTTGTAAATATATGAGCATGGCCCTTTTGAGGTTGGATCAGCTCAGTCCCGAGCCTAAGCTCAGCACCGTACCAAGCACTGTGCTGTTGGAAACGGGTTAACCAGTCCCCGTCAGGAGCTGCGCAGCACTCGAGCCTAAGCCAGAACTCAACATTCATCTCCCTCCCAACAGCAGCTGACCATAAAAACCACTCTTAGTCCTTTTCAGTGAAAGGACTGAAATCCTTTTCATCTGAAAAGGATTAGGTGTATTAGGAACAGCAGGTGTGAAATGTTCCTGACGTCTGTTCCACTTCACTGTACCCCCGAGGGAGGGAGTGAGGTGCAGGGAAGGGATGCGGATGTGGGAAGATAGGTGCATGCCCAAGGCTGGTCCCGCAGCTGGACATATTGCAATAACCTCAGGGGCTGTGGGGCTATTGCTAACAACCTCGGGAACAATTTTATACAATCTTAAACATACCTGGGGAGTGCTAGGTTTCCTTAAGTTCTCTTCATAAAATCCCCTTTAAAGTTGTTTTGTTTTTTTTTTTTTTTTTTTTTTTTTTGTTAAATTTTACACCTCCATTTCGGAGGGGAGGTGTGTACATACCTGGGGAGTGCTAGGTTTCCTTAAGTTCTCTTCATAAAATCCCCTTTAAAGTTGTTTTGTTTTTTTTTTTTTTTTTTTTTGTGGTGAATATTCAAGCCTCCTTTGTGACAGGTATGGGGTTGAGTACCTGGCCTTACTGCATGCTCCTTCAGGCACAGAGCATATGGAAGAGTTGATGTACTTTATCTGCGCTTAGGGAAATCATGTGGTTAGTTAGCTTCTTCAAACTGTGACCCATACAAGATTACTGCAGTATAGGACTTCAGGAGAAAATGGATGATAAATAGCAGCTGGAATAGGGATCTGTCCTCTAAATACCATCTTATGTATTTTGAGTGCTCCACCAACCACAGTTGCTTCCAGTCTGCCTGACTTTGGCCTCTAATTTGCACCTATATTTTAGGTACTTAAGAAATCAGCCTTCCCAAAGCAAGGGCCTAATTTATGGTACAGGCAATGAAGAGAAGCTCCTTGAAGGCTTCCAGAAGGAGCCTTTTCTCCTAATTCAGGTATCTATGTGCAGACAGGTGGGAGATCCCTCTGGAGCAATGAGAGGTGCTTGTCTCTTGCTGTTAGTCAACCAACATTTAGGCCCAAGGTTGGCATCTAAGGCAGATTTAGTCTAACCTCGCCTTCTAGACTGCTGCTGTAGTCTACAGAGAGGGAGGCAGACCTCTCCAGGAGGCAAGTCCTCTCACCATAAAATAGGTGTCTAAGATACAAGATGAAGGAGGAGGCCATCCCTCATTACTATTAATAAAGAGAGAGCCAAGGTGATTTGCTTAGACTCTAAACTTAGGATGGGTGTTACATTGCTTCCTTCAGGGGTCCAGCCTAAGCTGGTTATCTGGGCTTCCTTTGCAGTTGTCAGGGAAGACAGGAATGTCCGTAGGGTGATTCATCCCGCTTTATGATAAATAACATGAATTGCCTTCTGGAAGTGCTCATTTTTCATTGCCCACGGAGAAAGGCTAGTCACCCAGCTCTGATTAGACACCTGAATCGTAGCTGGCTAAAAGTACATGAATGATTCCTTCCTGAAACTAGTTTTTGTCTGAACGTCACATACATATGCTTATATATGTACACAGAAAGACAGAATTAGATCAGGATCCATCAAAACCCCCGTGTCTAAAATGCCTCTCTCTCAGAGCACAGATTTTCTTATTTAAGCCAATCTTGTAGCTACAGCTCCTTGCTTTGGGGGAGGAGAGAAATGAGCTCTGTGTCTTTGTATCATCTGCCCTAGAAGAAATGGTGGAAGATGTGTGTGTGTTCTGGAAGGAAGGAAGGGATGGAAAATCCCATGAAGAGGCGTCATTTTTTTCCAGCTGCGTTTGGGATAGACAAATTCAGCTGCTGGATA